TCCGAAAAACTAGATCTTGAAGCTCTTAAGCTTGTGCATGGGCAAGTAATTGTTTCTGATTTGGGATCAGACTCCATCACCGCTAGTGCATTTGTGTCAGCTTACTCTAAACTTGGCCTCGTTGATGATGCAAGAATGGTCTTTGATGGGCTAAACAGACACGACTTGGTTTTACACAACACAATGATTACAGGTTATGGATCTTGTGGGTACTGGCAGAAAGCTCTAAATCTGTTTATTATAATGAGAAGAATTGGAAATCAGCCTGATGGGTATACAGTTGTAGGGTTATTATCGGGTTTAACATGTTCTAGCTTGCTGGAAATCGGCCAAGGAATCCATGGTTACTGTTTGAGAAGCGGATTTAATTCTAACACACACATAAGTAGTGTCCTTGTTAGTATGTACTCAAGATGTGGTTGTATGAATTCGGCCTATAAAGTATTTAGTGGATTATCACATCCCGATTTAGTAACATGGTCTGCTTTAATATCTGGTTTTTCACAATCAGGAGAGTATCACAATGCCTTAACTTCTTTCAAGAATATGAACTCCTATGGCAAAAAGCCAGACTCCGTTCTTATCTCCATTTTACTGGTTGTAATTTCACAATTGGTCATTTTGGCACCAGGTGTCGAGATTCATGGCTATGCCATACGCCATTGCCTACATTCAGAGGTCATGGTGTCTTCTGCATTGATAGACATGTACTCAAAATGTGGTTTCTTGGACTTGGCACTCAAGGTGTTCGATGAAATGCCTAAGAGAAACATAGTTTCATACAATTCAGTAATAGCAAGTCTTGGTTTATACGGACTTGCATCCGAGGCTTTTGAAGTGTTTCATGAGGTTCTTGAACGAGGTCTAAAACCTGATGAATCTACTTTCACTGCTCTACTATCTGCTTGCTCCCATGGTGGTCTTCTTAAAGAAGGTCGAGACATTTTCAGAAGAATGCGGGACGATTTTGGCATTGAAGCAAAGACTGAACATTACGTTCATTTTGTGAAGCTTGTTGGTATGGCTGGGGAGTTGGATGAGGCTTATGAGGTTGTTAACTCGTTGGGAGAGCATGTGGATTCTGGTATTTGGGGTGCACTTCTTTCTTGCTGTGATGCACATAATGATTTGAAAATGGCAGAGATTGTGAGTCAGCGACTCCTTGAGTGTAAGCAAGAGAGAAGCAGCTACAAGGTTATGGTTTCTAATATGCTTGCTGGAAATGGGAGGTGGGATGATGTGAAAAAATTGAGGGATGAATTAGATGGTGTGGGAAATAGGAAAGTTCGTGGAGTTAGCTGGATTGAGGTCTAACCAAAGGAAATACCAAAGTAGAAAGGGCATGTAATCCAACGGTATCAGGAATGTTGGAAATATGCCCCTTAGCCAATCAATTCAGGGTTCAAGTCCCGGTGTAGTTTAGGAGCAGATTAAGGGGTGTGTGAGTTAGTTGTTCAAAAGAAAATTAACAAAGGAAATGATTCATATCTATGTTAAATATATGAGATTAGTGGTTGCGGTTTTGGCTGTTTTATTTAATGAGTTGATTTGGGTTGTTTTTATCTTTAACAAATTAAATGAATAAAACAATTTTTTTTGTTGTAAAAATTTTAGGTATAGTAGTCAGGTTTTCTAACAATTTACTTGATTTTTTTTTCCACTTAATTTAGGGTTAATATCATTGTTGGGCAACAAACTCTTTCGAATTGTTTTAAATGGTCCATCAACTTATTTTCTAGCTTTCTGGGGGCATACAATGGCTTTTGTCGAGTTTAAATTGTCCCTTCTGAAAATTTGAATGGGTAAGCCAGTTACACATTTGTTATGTCGTACTTGTTGGTCAACAAGTTGTTACTATGGCGACATCCTTTGTATGGATTCCTATTCTACTTTGTTCCTGTTCCCGGTCGAAGCTGTCGTGTCATTTTCTCCTTTCCTCTCGATTCCACACTTTAAACCCATCAATATGAATGCTTTTGCACAAAAATGACTCATTCCATCCTCCATCTAATTGGGTTTATCGGGAAACTCATCACAATTGACATAAAGGGGTTGTAACTCCATTCACAACTGCTATTTTATATGATAGATGCAAGTTTAGTCTTCAACAACCCTATAGAAATGGGCAACAAGCATGGATCATTAGAGAACATGGAGAAAGAGACTAATTTCGTTGTCATTAGAACAAACATATGGTGTGCTTGTTGGTTTCGTTTCAATCTGAAAGAAATTCAAAGGTTTATGGAGTAATTTATGAGGGGTGGTAGTTAATTCTTGGGAATTTGGTCGATCCTAACCCTAGAAAGGTTGTACTATTGTGGTTGTCTTTGAATTCAATATAGGTAAATATCAGTTTCCATACTTTTCATCTTTATTTAGTACCCATTTTCCTTTTCATCGGAAGCTTAAGATCTCTCTCAAAACCTTATTAATACCCTCTCTATACATCTCTCGTGATTGTTTGCTTAGTTTTGCTGGAGTATGTCAAATACCCTCATTACATTGGAACAAAGTAAGTGAAATCCACCATTCCCCTTTTAATAAACTTTAGGTCCAAGTGGACAGCCATGTATCGGTATCGGCTACATTATGTTGACTAGGCATCCACATTTTCTCCAACTTATTGTATGACATAGTGGGCAAGTTATTTCAGGTTAGTAGGACAAAATAAGGAGATATGCATCCACATTATGCCTTTAGAAAGCCAAAAAATAAGTTGAGGGACCATTTAAAGCAATTTAAGAAAGTTTGTTACCCAAGAGTGACATTAACCCATTAATTTATTTAGTCAAGCTTTAATCTGTTATGCATTAGTTGTGTAAATTGGTTGCGGATTGAAAGTAACTACATAAGTTGAAAAAGAAAGCTACTTCCTTACATTCATAAGTGATTAACCCAATATATTGGCAACAAAGTAACTAGATGAGTCAAGTTTATTTTGATGCATATAACTTATAAGTATTTTATTGAGAATATTAGTTTATTTATGATATTAGCAAATTTTATAATATTTTGTGTCGATCAATCCAATCCCTACAAAAAATATTTGTTTTGTTCTGCTCATTTTTTACCACCTTTCAAGTAATAAAGTTAATTTATAAAACTTAGTTAATGATTTTGTTGTATAGTTGTATTTATATGTTAAATTGTTAATAGTCGTCTAACGTGCCATGAAAGAAAATGAGTTGTTTTTCTTAATCACAAATTTAAGCTTAAGTATTGCTTTAGTGTTTGTTTCTAAATCTAGAAATTGTGACTTCCTATTTTTTTCAGTAAAAGGAATGGACACCTTCTAGAATTAATATTGCTTTATTTAAAAATAAAAAATAAAAAAATGTTGCTTTATTAAATAATAAATAAGTAAAATATATAACTTCCATTGTTTTTAAAAATAAAAAAATGTTGCTTTATTAAATAATAAATAAGTAAAATATATAACTTCTATTGTTTTTAATTTATATTGAATGTGAAACTTTATTATATCATCTTACTTATAGCACTTACTTGTAATTTCTGTAGATTTTTTTTTCAATCAGCATTCTATTTGGCACATAACTTTTTTTATACAAGTACAAACATTTTTTAATAAAAAAAAACAAGTGACAGAGAAAATAATTAAAAAATTTTAAACATGAAGTTAGAAGGGCAAGAAGTGTTGTAAGATTAAAATTATTAAAAATTTGTGTTTATTTAAATTTCAATCTATTGCAGCAGTCTGTAAAGATTAAAAAACAAACAAAGTTCTTATTACAAGTTGCAGTCATTTGGTCCATCTCTTCTACTGTAAAGGGCTACATATAGTTGCAGATGCGGTACGCAGACTTCAGAAATTTTCGCTTTGAAAAAACAGCCACCACCTTAGAGTGAAAATATAAGAGATTTATAAACTTAAGGGTTTTGTTGCAAACTTGAAAAATATACTTAGAGTAAAATTTAAAAAATTAAAAAAAAAAAAAAAAAAAGCAAATTTTGAATATTAACGAACATCATATTAACAATACCAAGAAAATTTGCCCAACTTAAAGAACTTTTGTGTCAAAAGCCTTGTAAAAAAGGAACATAACAAAAGATTGACAATTATACCCTTTATATATTTTACATTTTATCCCCTCCTAGTCTAAAACTCTCCCCCAGGCATTAGCAACTCCCACCATCAATACCGCTCTTTCTGTTCCAACATCACACGAATCTCCGGCTTGCTTCACACCCGTCGTCGCTTCCGACTTACTCCACCACCGTTGCCACCTCCGGCTTACTCCACCGTCGTTGTCCACCATCTGCCTTCGGCTTGCCTCACAGGTATGCCCGAATGTCTTGAAATGTTGTTTCTAATATTTTATCGTGTTCTGTACAATTGAGTATCAGTGTGTCCTGCACAATTGCAATCCGGTTTGCAGAAGCCTTAATTTGGAATCGTTAATTGATTTGGATCCGTTTCTTGTACAATCTTCAACTGTGTTGATATCTAATTAAGTTAGCTTTCTGTTAGTTTGTTAGTGTCGTTAATTAGCTTAGATATTTTCCTCTTTGTAATAAGTGTAGATATAAAAGGGCATATCAGTTAATGAAAGAAGATGTGATCACAGTCATGATCATTGATACTCTTTGTTTTCTTGATTGGAAAATTTAGAATTAGTTAATTATGATTTCAATTTTTTGATCGCCAACTGTAATACCTTTTGAGTTCTAAATGAACTATGATACATTTTGACATCAAAGTGAACTGTGATACCTTTTGAGTTCTAAGTGAATTGTGATACCTTTTGACATGAGAGTGAATTGATTTGCAATTGAGTTCTAATTTTGATGTTACTGTACATCTATGTGGCTTCACAGGGGTGGTTTGTATCGAGATATACGAGGTATTTCAAGTAAAAGAAAAAAACTACAGGATCTCGTTTGATTAATTGTCCTTTCAAGACTGTGTGTGGGCAAAAAGTATAGTGATGGATCAAATGGTGCTTGGAATCATCACAGAGACACAATAAAATGGATGATGAATACAACGTAATCGACTTAAACCTATATCGATTAGATAAATCAAACGATCCTTTTTGAACCCGCTATAGTTTTTTATATTTTTTTTTGAACGACTAGTTCTATATATTTTTGATTCGGATGCCTGTTTGGTTTTCTATTTAGACAGTTGTTTGATCACATTTGTTCAATAAAAGTTAAGTGATATAACTAAGTTTTCAATTTTAATTGCTATTGTATATACGTCTGTTTTATATTTTATTTTTTAAGTTTATACGTGAAAAAAAATCTAGGGCAAAAAAAAATTTAGTGATAGGAGGTACAATGTAAAGTTTAGTAAAATAGAGAAAATATAAAATTGAAATTTTGCAAAAACAATGTTATATGCAGTAGACATAAATATATTTATATAATTAAGGGGTAAAGTGTGAAGTTTGGCAAAATAGAAGTCTATTCATAAAAATTTGTTGTGGATGGCAAAAACTTTATTGTGTACGAATAAACTCCCTTATAAAAATAAGTGTCATGTTACTATCAGTAAAAAAAAACATAAGTATAAGTAAAAACATAGATTGCTGTTATGGGAAATACACACTTGTAGATAAGAAAGCATGTTGCTATTTCCTATGGTTTATACCAACTGAATCTAACATCAAGTATTAAACGATATGATGTTTCTTAGAGATATGATGCTTCTTAGAGTGACATTTATGTTATTTTTCTATAATCAAAATAAACATTCTTTATGTATTTACTGACATTTACTAAAGCAATTCTTTTCAAAAAAAGTTTAAACTGATTGTGACTGATTACTAATGCATAAAGAAACAAAAAAAGCAGATAAGAAACCATCCCACTAAACAAGAAAACGAATTCAAAAAGCAAAAGCATAACCCATGACATGACATTATGAGAATACAAAATCTGTGTAAAAAATGGTTAATCTCAAAGACTTAGAATAAAAATCCAAATACAATGTATTCAGAGATACAAAATCCAACCTGTTTTCACTTGTAATCCTCAAAGATTGAGAGAGAGAGAGAGAGAGAGAGAGAGAGAGAGAGAGATGTCTTGCCTCAAAATCTGCCCTATTCCAATTTCCAAAACATTACATGAAAAGCTAGATGAAATTGGCCTTCTTTAAAAACCTTATGAGTTTGCAATAATGAGGCCATATGGATTCAATGTAGTCCAAATACTTATCCATTGCCCATTCTTGAAATTTTTTCCATATGCCTTTGTACCCTAACTTCCTAAACTCCACCACAGGCTTCCATAATCGCAAATTTATGGCTTCTTTCAGCTTTCCACTAATCACATAATCATAATAAACTGGCAAATCCTTCACCACTTTTACCGATTGCTTGAAGCTGTAAATGTAGAGCAAGCATAACCCATGAAGAATCTTGATGTAAAGAGCAACAATAAGGGGCCCACATATCCACAATGGAGTCAGTTCCTTTGCAACTTCCGGCCCATACTTGATGTTCACTGCCAGATACATGGGTATGCTGCAAAATGCAAGCAAATTCACCCAAAGACATCAGAGATATATATATTTTATAGGGGCAAAATAGTCATTCATTATTATCTTTCAAACTTACAATATCATAGCAGGTATCTTTATGGTTGCATCCAAACCCAAAAGGTTTCTCCAAACTGTTTTCAAAATGACTCCTCTTCCACTTGTTTGAATTTTTTTGTCATCTGTTTCCACAATTTCATTCTCAGATGTCTCCTCCAATGTCTCATTTGGAAGTTGACTTTGTGAAGAAGAAGAAGGTGTACGTAGCAAAGTCAACCAGCTTTTGAAGAGCTGCTGTATGGCTTGAGACCCTGCTGTGGTTTCTTGTTGCATATTAGATGTTGGGGTTGCATGATTGTTCTTCACCTTTGGTGATTCAGCTAATGTTTCTTTGCGATCCTGTGGGAGATAAGAGAGTTTGACCGGATTTTTTGTGGACTTTGACCCGTTTTCTCTAGCTCCTGATTCGTCATTCTGGACATTTCCTTTGAATGATGATATTTTTAATGGTTTTCTCTTTGATTGAGGCGCCTTTACACTGTTTATAAATGACAATTGAACAAAAAGTTAATGTTAATCATCTCTTTTGCATCTTAGCTATAGCTTGACCAAATAGATTTTTCATAACTTTTTTATCTTTTTATCTTTTAATTTATCCATACAAATAAACATGTTGTTTTGTTTAACGTAATGTAAACTCGATAGATAAAATATTCTAAAACTTATAGAATTGAATTTTATAAAAATATAAACAAGAGTTCAAAATTTGGTAACATTTAGTAATATACAAATATTAGAAATTAGAAATTTTTTAATAACTAAAAGTTTATGAATTTTAATATAATTATTATTGTTGTAAGGTTTTGTGCTACAAACTATAAAGAAGATGAAACTACCACTTCATAATGTAGTATTCAGTGATGTGGCTCGAAAGAGTTTAGTGGAAAAGCTTTACAATTAGCAGTCATATCCAGCATAGACAGTGTAAATTTTGAAAGGTCAATATTATGAAAGTATAGAGATAAGTACTTACCATAAACAAGATCTATGCTTCAATAATATAATATCTGTTCTCTTAACAATTGGAAATGCTGCTAAAAAATTCTTTGATTCGATCCCTTTCTTCAAAGATAAAGGTCTTGGAGGAGCATATGAACCCTTCAAAGGCAAATATAGAGTATCTATTATTTATTTATTACTCTCACAAACAATTCATTCATACATCCAATTCCTAATCTTAACATATGCAGGAAGTATAAAAAGTAGTCAGAATTTCTTTTACCTGAACCTGGTGGGTTACTAATGCCATTATGCCCTTCCAGTTTACCCTATCATTTATGCAGCAACATCATACATAGCACCTGGAAATGCAATAATTGATTCATATCAGTTGAAGAAATCCACATGAAACCATTGGAGGTATGTTCAGGCACATGCTCAATGAAACACAACTCTAGCATGAATCACCTATTTAATCAAAGAGCATTCTACTCGTTCCAAAATTGTCAAACTAAATAAAAAAAAGGGGAATTAGCGTTATCATTTGATTCATTTCATTAGCATGAATGAAAATACAGCCGTAAAGCAAAGGAATTTCACCCTTCTATATTAGCTTTTTCCATATAAAACATGGCAAAATTAACTAATTCCCAAAACTCAGCAATATCGAGCTATACCTACCAACCTTCATGAAATTAAAACTAGAAACTAGCCAAACACAATCAACCAGAGTATTAATTTTACGAATTGCGTCAAAATCCCTAAAACTTGACCGACTTGAAATCATAGAGCAAAAGAGAGTTACCTGTATGCATAAGAAACGATTTGTAGCAGTAGCTGCTAGGATTGATGATTAAAATTGTCTTAATTGAGAAGCGATGACGAATTTGTGGAAATGATTGTAGAGTAGACGCACGGAGGATTGGGTTGGTGGGTTTACCTGTATGAAAAGAATTCACGAAACATTAGGGTGAATTCCTAAAAAGAAACGAAAGCTTTATCTGTTATCTTCCAATGGAGTTTTGGGAGGAAAGATTAGGATAGAGAGAGAGGATGATGAAAGTGGTGAAAAAGAACGTCAAGTCGGGGTCAAAATTAGGGTTTTAAGGGATTTTTTTTCCCAATTATTTTAGAAAATTACATGAGGATAAAAGTGATGGCGGTCGTTATATGTTATGTTGTGATTTTTAACATCTGCCACATAACTTTTTCTATATTACATTCCTTACCCTTCTAATTTCAAGTTTAAATTTTTTCTAATTATTTTCTAAACATGTTACCTTCTTATTATTATTATTATTATTATTATTATTATTATTATTAAAACATGTTTCTACTAGTGTAGAAAAAGTTATGTGGCAAATAGAATGTTGTTTGAAAAAAAAATCCATAGAAATTACAATTAAGTGATATATAAAGTTTCACATATACAATGTAAACCGAAAACAATGGAAGTTATAAATTATATTTATTTATTATTTAATAAACCAAGATTAATTCTAAAAGGTGTCCATTCCTTTTACTTAATGGAAAGTCATAGTTTCTAATATTAGAAACAAACATAAGCAAAATTTAAGCATAAATTTGTGATTGGTAAAAAGAAAAGAGAAATTAAATATCCTCCTACATTTTATTCCTACAAATCCTCCTACCAATTTAAATAATGATATGTGTCATATTACTATCTTAAAATATCTTTAAATTTCATTAAATGAACATTAAATGTTACACATGTCACCATTTAATTGGGTAGGATGATATGTAGGAAGAAAAGGTAGGAGGATATTTAATTTCTCAAAAGAAAAACAATACAAAACAACTCATTTCCTTTCATGGCACGTTAGACGACTATTAACATATCATAAATACAACTATACAAAAATATCAGTAACTCAGAGTTTTATTACTTGAAAGGTGGTAAGAAAATAAAAATAAAATATATGAGCATAACAAATCAAATGTTTTTTGTATGGATTGGATTGACAAACACGAAATATTATAAAATATGCTAATATTCTCAATATGAAAACACTTATAAGCATCAAAAATAAACTTGAACATTCTCACGTGGTTACTTTGTTGCCAATATATTGTGTTAGGGCTTTTTGATATGTCTCTTTTTGGGTCTGCTAAGAGTTTAAGTCTGACTTGATAAGATTTAGAAGATTTAGATTGTTTGATATCATATTTAAAAGTCTCTAACTAAGTCATGATTCATCTAATATGCCTCTTAATCGGTGAGATTTAGAGCTATGCCTTACACCTTGACTCAATTGGATTTAACTCGATCAACAACTATCAAATAGCCTCTTAATCACTTATGTATGCAAGGAAATAGATTTCTTTTCAACTTATGTAGTTATCTTCAATCTGCTACCATTTTATACAACTAATGCATGACAAATTAAAGCTTCACTAAATAAATTAATTGAAAAAAAAATCTCAAGTAAGTTGTTAGAAAACCTAACTACTTTACTTAAAAAATTTACCCCATAAAAATTTATTAAATTCATTTATGAATCATTTCCATTGTTAATTTTCTTTTGAACAACTAACTCACACACCCCTTAATCTGCTCCTAAACTACATCGGAACTTGAACCCTGAATTTATTGGCTAAGGGGCATAGTTCCAACATTACTGATACTGCTAGGTTACATGTCCTTTCTACTTTGGTATTTCCTTCGGTTAGACCTCAATCCAGCTAACTCCACGAACTTTCCTATTTCCCACACCATCTAATTCATCCCTCAATTTTTTCACGTCATCCCACCTCCCATTTCCATTAAGCATATTAGAAACCATAACCTTGTAGTTGCTTCTCTCTTGCTTACACCCAAGGAGTCGCTGACTCACAATCTCTGCCATTTTCAAATCATTATGTGCATCACAGCAAGAAAGAAGTGCACCCCAAATACCAGAATCCACATGCTCTCCCAACGAGTTAACAACCTCATAAGCCTCATCCAACTCCCCAGCCATACCAACAAGCTTCACAAAATGAACATAATGTTCAGTGTTTGCTTCAATGCTAAAATCGTCCCTCATTCTTCTGAAAACGTCTCGACCTTCTTTAAGAAGACCACCATGGGAGCAAGCAGATAGTAGAGCAGTGAAAGTAGATTCATCAGGTTTTAGACCTCGTTCAAGAACCTCATGAAACACTTCAAAAGCCTCGGATGCAAGTCCGTATAAACCAAAACTTGCTATTACTGAATTGTATGAAACTATGTTTCTTTTAGGCATTTCATCGAACACCTTGAGTGCCAAGTCCAAGAAACCACATTTTGAGTACATGTCTATCAATGCAGAAGACACCATGACCTCCGAATGTAGGTTATGGCGTATGGCATAACCATGTAGCTCGACTCCTGGTGCCAAAGTGACCAATTGTGAAGTTACAGCCAGTAAAATGGAGATAAGAACGGAGTCTAGCCTTTTGCCATAGGAGTTCATATTCTTGAAAGAAGTTAAGGCATTGTGATACTCTCCAGATTGTGAAAAACCAGATATTAAAGCAGACCATGTTACTAAATCGGGATGTGATAAACCACTAAATACTTTATAGGCCGAATTCATACAACCACATCTTGTGTACATACTAACAAGGACGCTACTTATGTGTGTGTTAGAATCAAACCCGCTTCTCAAACAGTAACCATGGATTCCTTGGCCGATTTCCAGCAAGCTAGAACATGTTAAACCCGATAATAACCCTACAACTGTATACCCATCAGGCTGATATCCAATTCTTCTCATTATAATAAACAGATTTAGTGCTTTCTCCCAGTACCCACAAGATCCATAACCTGTAATCATTGTGTTGTGTAAAACCAAGTCGTGTCTGTTTAGCCCATCAAAGACCATTCTTGCATCATCAACGAGGCCAAATTTAGAGTAAGCTGACACAAGTGCACTAGCGGTAATGGAGTCTGATCCCAAATCAGAAACAATTACTTGCCCATGCACAAGCTTAAGAGCTTCAAGATCTAGTTTTTCGGA